TAAAAATCAAATTAACAATCTGTTAGACTTTTCGGTAGTTAAACAATGCGAACCGCTGCAGAAGTATTTACTTCCTCTGACAACTTCAGGTATATATTTTTATTAGAGAATTCAGTATGCTTTTTTTTTTTTTGCCAAAAAACTCAATGACCAAAAAAAGAGCAAAAATAAAAGATGCATTTATTTTAATCCCATTCCTCAATACTGTGATAGGCTTCCCAAATGTCTTGGAAGTGTGCAAAGAGAAAATACATTTGGGAGGGGGAAGGAAAGAGATTCGGACACTCACTAAAACAGAGCTGGAAGGGATCTTGTAGGTCATCTAGTCCAACCCCCTGCCCAAGCAGGAGACCCTACACCATTTCAGACAAATGGCCATCCAGTCTCTTTTTAAAAAACTCCAGTGATGACGCACCCACAACTTCTGGAGGCAAATTGTTCCACTGATTAATTATTCTCACTGTCAGGAAATTTCTCCTTAGTTCTAAGTTGCTTCTCTCCTCGATTAGTTTCCACCCGTTGTTTCTACTTGTGCCTTTTGAGAATAGCTTGACTCCCTCTTCTTTGTGGCAGCCCCTGAGACAGTGGTGGGAATCAAAAAAATTTACCACCAGTTCTGTGGGCGTGGCTTGGTGGGCATGGCGTGATAGGTGTGGCAGGGGAAGGATACTGTAAAATCTCCATTCCACTCCACTCCTGGGGGAAAGTTACTGCAAAATCCCCATTCCTTCCCCACCCCACTAACCTGCTTTCCAGCTCCGTTCTCCTGTGCAGGGCAACCAAAGAAGACCCAGCCAATCAGCTGGGACTCGGGAGGCAGAGAATAAATGGGGGCGGGGCCAGTCAGAGGTGGGATTTGCCGGTTCTCCAAACTACTCAAAATTTATGCTACCGGTTCTCCAGAACTGGTCAGAACCTGCTGAATACCACCTCTGCCCTGAGATATTGGAACACTGCTATCATATCACACCTAGTCCTTCTTTTCACTAGACTAGAAGACATACCCAAATTCCTGTTACTGTACTTCGTATGTTTTATCATCCGGTCCCCTAATCCTCTTTGTTGCTCTTTTTTGCACTCTTTCCAGAGTCTCAACATCTTTTTTATGCTATGGTGACCAAACCGGGATACAGCATTCTAAACTCTGCTCTTACTAAGGCTTTATAAAGTGGTACAGGCGACTTACAACTCTTCGTTTAGTGACCATTCAAAATTACAACGGCTCTGCAAAAAGTGACATATGACCATTATTCATACTTTATGACCATTGCCGCATCCCCATGGTCACGTGATTTACATTCAAATGCTTGGCAAACTGACTCACATTTATGACGGTTGCAGTGTCCTGAGCTCATAGGATTCCCTTTGGCGACCTCCTGACATGCAAAGGAAGTGGGGAAATCAGATTCACTTAACAGTCCTGTTCCTGATTTAAGAACTGCAGTGATTCACTTAACAAACATGGCGAGAAAAGTCATAAAATGGAGCAAATTCACTTAACACGTCTCACTTAACAACATAAGTTTTGCACTCAATTGCGGCCGTAAGTTGAGGACTACCTGCACAATGCTTTCCCACAGTTAATTTAACTGGGGTTTACTTAATTAACCCAGCCTGTCTCTTCCAACCTCCAAAAATGGAAAGCAGTATAGCCTTATGTTCGGATTTGAGTAACTTGGCTAATTGCCTGCTTACAAGTAAGTGTTTAAGAAGTAAATCTGTCTCTTGTATACTTGAACCACACCGCATAAACTTCCAGCACGTGGGACTCTGGCTGTTATTAATTTATTTCTATAAATCATCAACAGAAAGATACACAAATGCTTGTGCTTTTTTTAAAAAAGGTGAACAATTTATTTGCAAAGCTGTAAATCCAAACCATCCAGAAGTTGTATAGTATATAGACAGTGCATGTCTATGGGTGTCAGAATCTTGGTTGAACAGAAAATCTACCCCCCCCACAAAAAAGAGAATATTTTCCTTTTCTAGTCTTAGATGAAAGAACAGAAATGCAGTCGTCGTTGGTCCTTATCCTGCTGGGAATTTTCTCAAATATTGTCTCAGATTCTAGCTGTGTTTTCCCAGGGTAGAAAAATGACCATGCTATTAATTCTTAATCCAGGTGTTTTTATCTCTGGTGGGACAGGTCTATCAGGACAACCTGGCCTACCTAATTATTGGACGGAGCATACTGCTTCCGTTTCTGCCTTTCAGCCCCAATCCAGGGGCCTTTGCAGGCAGTCGCTTTTGCAACAAACTATTTTTGTGTTAAATGTATGTTTTATTTCTTTGTCGGTAAAACATAAATTTAACTCTTAATCCAGGTGATAGAAAAGTACAGGCATATATCAGCTCTGGACTGGAATTCAACGACTTGATAAAAGGAGACTCAATTTTTATTTTCTAAGGAAATAAGAGAACTCTTTAAACGGCAATAGCAACATCCAAGGATATAAAGAAAAGGTTTTGGTTAACATACATACATACACACACACACACACACACACACACACACACACACACATATATATATATATATATACACACACACATACATACACACACACACACACACACACACACACACACATATATATATATATATTGCAAGCCACAAAGCCAAGGTTGGCATATTGATTCAGATGAAAATTGTTCAGAATTCCTATGACTGGTTGCTATGTTCATAAAAGTCTAACCTGTAGGAAGTATTTTTTGGGGGGGTATGGGTAATCCTCCACTTACAATCCCAATCGAGACCAAAATTTCTCTTGCTAACCAAGACAGCTAAGTTAAGTGAGTTTTGCCTCAATTTACGACCTTTCTCATCACCGTTGTTAAGTGAATCGCTGCGATTGTTTGGTTAGTAGCCGTCATTGGATACGACATGGGCAGCAAATAAATTTCATAATAAACAAATACATTTCATAATAAATAAATAAACTTCATAATAAATAATAAATAAATTTCATAATAAATAATAAATAAATTTCATAATAAATTTTCATAAATAGTTTTCAAAATAAATAAATTGATATCTCTATATATCTCTATATATCTCTGTGTGTGTGTGTGTGTTTGTGTATGTGTGTGTAATGTATATATGTATACACACACACACACACACACACACACAAAAATATGACACGTATCATATTTCTTAACTGCCCATTCTCCTTTCTTTGGGTGCTGCATAATATAGTCAATACAATCAGAATGATTTAAGTTTAAAAAGTTAAAATGAATGCGAATACACGCACAAACACCCACACATACAAAGGAATAAATACATAAAGGGCAGAAATGCCCTTCACCTAAAGGGAACTTTCTGCCACTGTTAGAAAAAACAACACAGATGAGTTGAGTGTAATGGGAGCATAAGGTGCTGTCTTTGGCTGAGACAGACCACTTGTTCATCCAATAAAGGAGAATATTTATAGCTCGGGGTTGAAATGAGGGGTCCTTGGTGGTCTCCAAGCTTGGTTGTTTTCTTGTAGGAGTTACATTACCACACCGGGTAATATTATCAGTGCACTAATGTTGTTGTTACCTAGTTTGAGTAATGAGGTATCTGCAAGAAAACAGCCAAACCAAGGGCCCCTCACTTATTCTTCATTTTCAATAACTGTGGCTTTTCAGCAATTGGTTACTATGGGGAGTCTTTGGCTTACGGCCAATTGCTTAATCACTGTTCAAAGTTACAACCTACCTGACAAAAGGGAACATCACCTGGATCCAAAGTTCTGACAGTTCCTCCCCTCAGCGGTCATGTGACCGTACTTCGGGTGCTTAGCAACACAGACAAAATATACTATGGACATCAGCAGTCTCACAGTATCCCAAAACCACTTATAGTGTCCTAAAACCTCTTACAATGGTTTTGCGGAGAACAGGCACCTCCATCTTTTCAGCAAAACTGTAGCGAAAAACGGGTAGGCTTAACAACCACAAAAACAACCACCACATAAAGTCATGAATCAGACTGATCCAGTGACCAAACCCTTTTACAACTGTTATGACTTAAGGATCGTAATGGGCAGTTGGGCTCCATTGTAGTCGTAACTTAAGGACAGTTTGCTTAGGAGTGACCAAACGTTGAGGTTCGGCCGTTGTGATGAAACTTGCACTCTGTGCCTAAGGAGCGGCCTTTCCTGTAGCAGAACAGATCGGTGCATTATGTTCTTTAAAAAGTCTTCAGCTGCCACATTGCAAAAAAAAAAAAGCAAATAATGCAAAGGAGCAGAAAAAGGAGATCCAGATCAAAGATCAATTTGCCCTCATCTCAATGAGGGCAAATATATAATTATATATGTGTGTATATGTGTATATGTATATATGTATATGTGAATATATGTATATATGTATAATATTTGTTTTGTTAAGTTTTCGCGGGTACTTACATGTGTGGTATTCAGCTTTGTTTGGGTATTTTCCCACGTCATTGTAGTTGTGCTTTTAAAGTTGTAGCAACATTTCGGCAGAATCTCATCTGCCATCATCAGGCTTCTGTATTGTGTTTGTCTGTGAGTCAGACTTTCACAGCCGTTTCAGTTTTAAATTTGGGGCTAGCTGTAGGCTAGCACAATACAGAAGCCTGATGATGGCAGATGAGATTCTGCCGAAACGTTGCTACAACTTTAAAAGCACAACTACAATGACGTGGGAAAATACCCGAACAAAGCTGAAT